GGGACTTGTGAATTCGCCTGTAGCTTTTATGAGTCACTTAAAGTCACTGGTTATCATCAGAGGTTAAAATCATAGCCAGAATAACTAAGCTGCTTTCCTACATGTATAAAAGCCTTGCTTCTTCCCTTTGTGATTGTCGAATAGTGCCAGAGGAATTAAACTGCTGTTAGTCCCCCAGGCTGTCTCCTTTTCTTTCTTTAAAAGTCAGTGCTTTCCGGGGTTCCAGGTCTCCCTCTAGAGAGACCATCAACAAGAGAGAGAGAGAAAGAGAGAGAGAGAGAGAGAGATGCCAAGCAATGGATAAAGATGTAAACTTTCATTTGAAATGAAAAGGATGAATATTTACACATTTATTTGCACAAAAAAAATAAGAAAATAGGTAATATTTTGGAGGAGAACTCAGTGGGCAGGAAAACAAAATTTGAGGTAGAATAGACACATATTTTATAATAGTTAAGCTTCTATACCTTTTAAATTTTGTTCCATGTGATTTAACCAGGCAAAATATGTTTTAAAACTACCAGTTCTGAGAAAGAAGTCAGGCAATTAGCAGGAGAACAATTGACTCAAACTCTTTGTTTTTAAATATATTGACATTCAGATGTTGTTAGAAGCAAAGGGGTGGTGTGATATTGGGGAGCAGTTAGTCATTTAAGTCTGGATGTCAGGAGAGAAGTTTGGGCTAGAAATATAAATGCAGGCATTTTCAGCATATAGATAATATTTAAATCAACAAGGATAGATGAGATCACCTAATGAGAGTATAAAGGGGTAAGGAGAAGTGCCTGGTTTCAATCCTGAACTACTGTAAAATAATGCATGTTCCTGACTGAAAGTTTGAAAAATACTAAAAAGCATTAAAAAATTTAAAAATTATTTATCATCCCACTTTCCAGAGATTTTCTTCCAGTCGCTTCTCTCTGCATTCAAGAATATGCTATTAAGCACCTCCTTATATGAAAATCTCTTTGCATATTTAAAGACAGAGGGGGATAATAGCATTCCAACAACCCAGAATATTTTTTAAGTGAAATACAATCTTTATGGAAGTCTTATAGAACATTTGTTTAATGTGTAGCAAATGTCTTTAAAATTCTGTCTCTGTCTCTCCCCCCTTCCCCCACCCCAACACCATCACCAGGACACTGATACATAACTCAAGGCTCCTGCTTTCTCTATATACCCAACCCTTTTTTCTTTGTATACTGGTTGCTGGTGTCTGTTCCATCCCTTCCTCTGCCTCCTAAAACACAGACTTTCAGGAACATGGTGCTCTGGAAATTCTCTACCTGCCCAGAAGGCCCCTTTGCTGTCATGCTCTATGGCCTTCAAGGTCAGCCTAGGAGAGTATCACCAAGCCCCCTTTGCTTTCTAGCCTCCAATTAGGTCAGGCCAGTGCGGAGCTTGGGCTGGAGGAAGAGGGGGAGGAGAAGTCAAGCCTGACTCCCTAGTCCCTCCATGCTAAAATGGCAGCACAGTCTGGTAGGATCACTGTCTGAGTAAGATCCCAGAGCAGGCCCATCCCTGACCCACAAAGCCTTGGGGCATCAGAGATGTGATTGGCTCTGGGGTGCTTCAGCATTTAAATCTGCTCACCTCTTTGTAAATAGTCCCTTAAAGAAGCACTTCTCAGTGGCACAGCTGGAGTATGTCACTTCTGTGCCAAGACCCTGACTGATGTGAGTCACTCGAGCCCCTTCAGTTCTCTATCTCTTAGAACTCATGTTCTTCATCACCCCAGACAAATGCCTGAGTTCCAAGTAGGTAGAGACTTTTGTGAACATTAGTTCACAAACTAATATTGTGAATATGACTTTTGTGAGTATTACTTCATATGAGATACCAGTATAGATAATATACAAACATTTTTATATGCATAAAGAAAATCTGTAAGGAATGCTTGCTTAATCCTAGGTAGTCCAGGGTAAGGGGACAAGGGGAAAGGGGGCCTTTCATTTTTTTTCTTTATGTATAGCTCAGTTAATTATGGTTTCAATAAAGAGGTACTCTTTTTGAAAAAAAATACTTATTTTAATTTTAAGGAATATAATAAGGGGATGTGACCACAGAAACAAAATCTCCACCCACTCCTGCAGAACCACTATATACATCTGTGAGTGTTGTGCCCTGCATGTAGGCCCCTGTTATGGGGACATTAGCCCTGTAATCCACTCAACAGCCTTTGAGATCTGATATGGAACCCTGATGCACCCTAAGACAAGAACTAGCCTCGTTCCTATTTGTCTGGATCTGATTTTCTGCCAATTGGGATTTTCAGTTGTAAATTGTTCTTGCTACTTCTACAAGGGCGGAAAACTGCATTTGGGGCTTGAATTGGCAATATACTGGTGATACTTAGATCTTGCCTTTTTATTTTTATGTTTATTAGTATATGCTTGCAGTACATGATGATTACATTCATTGTGTGGAGTTGGTACATGGATATAACACATCTTGCCTATTTTTGTCTACTCCAAACCCTGCTTGGATGAACGTTGCTCAAATTCCCAGTCTCTCAGTGTTGTTGTTTTTTTTAGCTTTCTTTATTAACACAGATCTCTGGACCCAAATTTTCCTTTTTGGGTCTGCTTTCTAAGCCCCAGCTTAGAAACTGCAATAATTCTTAGACATTCTCTCCAGTGTTTAAATAGCTATTTTACATTTCTTTGCCACTAACCAAATTACCAGGAGTAATCTAATCTAACTTTAACTTAAATTTCAATCTCTATTCATATCTTTTTTTCCCTTGAGTAGCTTCCACCTGAAAACATATTGGACTTTCCTTGCCTTTAATAGTCATGACATATGATGTCACTAGATTAACTCAGCCATTTCTAAAACAGCCAATTCCCATCATCCCCCCAACCCTAACTCAGCAACCTGACTTTATAATAAACCATTCTATTTTGAACTACATAAATTTAAGATGGTCATTACAATTTAGCATTCATGAACACACAGTATACAGAGACACATGTGTATATATATTTATAAAGTTTTCAGAAGCAAGCTGAGGTTGTACAGTAGTACTCTCTCAGTTCTAGTTTGTGATTCACCTGCAGAAGTTGCCTCATCGCTTTTGTAAGATCAGATGTCAAATAGTGAACTGAGGCTCCATTCACTTCTGTTTCTGCAGACTCATATCCCATTATCTTTCCCTCCCACTCAGGAGCAAGATTAGTTACTCATTAATTTTGAGGGGGTTTCCTAAGAGACACAGCAAAGATTTCCTGGTGATGTGGGCTGACAGCTATGGAAGTGCTAACAAGGGAAATCATAAAATCTCTTCCTTGGGAGTCTTAATGAAAAGCAAAACCAAATGGGTCTTGTTAACAAGTATTAGAAGTACGTAGGGGACTTGAATGGGGTGAAGGGTCATATCATTCAATGATTTGTAGTAACAGATGGACTATTAATTTAAAATAAGAAGCAACAGTCAATTAACAGTTAGTGTTTCCCAAATTCCTTGGGTTTTTTAACCATGGAGTAATGCTAGCTACACTCTCACCTTATTTAGCTTAATAAAATTTCAGCCTGAGTTTTAGTGCTGTATTCACCATTACACAAGAAGTAAATTGCATTTACTACTTGATACCTGTTAATGCACTGTCTTCTTCACCCCAACTCCCCACGTGGTCCCACTGATTGGTAGCACCCAGAGGCTTTCTAATGTGGGTAGGACGCAGGATGTGCTTCTTGGTTGTTCAGGTTTCCCTCTGTTCACTCCCTCTATTTCCTTTGTATAAAAAGATGAGCTGTGAATACATGTTGCTTAAGTCTCTTATTCAATCAAAACAAAATTTGAGGCCGGGGATCTAGCTCAGTGGTTCCGGCGCCTGCACGCAAATGCAAGGACCCAAGTTTGATCCCCGGTACTAAAAAAAAAAAAAAAAATTTGACTTTGGCACTGACACAATCAGTTTCCATACTTTGCTTCTCCATATTGTGGCAAACCATTTGCTTTAACCAAACTTAGCATGCAGTAAAAATAGCAGCAGTCCTTGTACTTGCCTGTGATTTCAAACACTTTTTTATTTCTGTGTTTTGCAGGTAATCCTATTACCATCATGTACAAATACCCACACAGAATCATACATCTCTGCTTTACTTTTAGGAAGTGTGTTATTTAAAATGTTAGGTTAATATGTATAGCTAACAGATGATTTTAGACAATCAGGTTAAAGTTTTTTTAAAAAATAAAATGTTGAGTTTCAAGAGTCAAGTAACTGCTGAGAAAAATCAAGTGAAATCTTAGGTACTGTAATCTTAAGAGGGTCATCACTGACCCTTTTAACCAGAACCAGAACTTTCCAGAGATATTCTGTATTTATTTATTGTGAAC